CTTTTATACTCTCCGTCTCCAAGGTAACTCCCGTCCTGCCTTTATTGGTCGACACCGGCGCGAGGGATTCCCCCCGCCGTGCCACTTTCGTAGCTGACCAAATTTGGGCTGCTTCCGGCTGTGACGGCGGGTATCCCCCATGCCTTAAAAGGACAGGCGGCAGAGCGACGTGGAGGAGCGGAGAGGGGTTTTCTTCACTGCGGCAGAGAGAGGTTATACAACCGGGAGAGGACAGGAAACACGGGAGGGAGACGCAGATCGCGGGTTTTGGCGCATTTCAGAGACCAAATGTGTTTCATCTGTTGAGTTGGAGATGCTCACACCGAGCAGACAGACGAGGCTGGATTTCAAAGCACAAACAGCTGATATATCACTGAAAATGTCAACTCGACGTCAGTTTTTGCCGTCGCTTATGGCGCCCCCTCCAGTGCGGCGCCCGCTGAGCGCCTGTCACAACTTTTTGGTTCAGCACTGCAGACGCATCTCTGGCCCAGATGTGACATTCCTGCACAGCCATGCAGCTACTGGGATGTGGTCGCCATGGAGACGGATGGAGGATCCAGGCCTTGTTACATAAAAGGAGCTGGATCATCAGAACCTGCAGAACTCCTGGTTCTGTTGGATCATCCTCTGAGATTCACATGGTTCTCATCCCCCCATGTTAAACAAGCAGAAGTGTTACATAACAGGGAAGGTCATGTGTTCCCCTAAAAATATATTTTTATTTCAATAAAACTAAATTTAAACCCTTAAATTGGTCAGATGGAACTTTTCAATCTTGTGCATCATTTAATACATAATAATGTGAATATTAAGCTATGTTGTCGATCAGTTGTAAATGTGGGCGCTGGGCCACAGAGGGCGCCAGATCGATGGCAAAAATTATTTCTAGTTTCCATTTTCTGTATTTAAAGCCGTTTCAGAACTTATTCTGTAAACGTATTTTCATCTCGTCTTCTTTAAGTATTTCAGACACAACAAAAGTCACATCAAATGAGCGCAAAGCTTTAATTTTATTTTACCGTTTCAACTTCTAAAGCAAAACTTCAGAATGACATGCTAATGGAAACAGATTGGATCAAAGCAAACCGAGGTGCTATAATGGCGTAGTCAAAGTCTAGGGAGAGATTTAACTGATGTTCCCTGGTGCTTTGCATTAAATCGAACTGAACATGTTTTGGAAAGAAGAGAAAAAACGTTCAGCTGATTGGTGGAGACCAACCAGCTGCATCTGCAGAGAAAGAGTTACATACAAATTCCCCCCACACTTTTCAGAAAATGTTTAAATGGTGTCTGATTTTCTTTCTGATCCACTTTCCTGCTTCGCTTTGTGCTGATTGATCTCATGAAACCTCAATATGTCCAGGCAGTGGTCAGCGATACAATCACAATAATGATCAAAACTTTTTAGGTCACGGTTTGGCTACGACTGTGTCACAGCATTTATTGTCCCCCAAACACAAACACTGTTTCAAAAAGATTCCTGTTCATAATAATCTTCTTTAGCACAATAATCACATAAAAAGTGATTTAAATCCACTACATTTAATCATATTTTGAAATTTATTGATGCTTTCTGTGACCAAACAGTGGAGAAAATAGTGAAACTGAAAGACAATTAATTAGGAATGAATCATCATTAATATATAATCAATGTTATCGGGATAAATGTTAAACTTCAGGGTTTTATAGTGTAAAAACTTCTGGCAGATTTTTAAGATAAAACTTTGGATCAGATCTTCATTTTGACCAGAGGTGTCCAAACTGTGGTCCAGGGGCCATTTGTGGCCATAAAATGATTTTGTTTGGCTCCCAAAAACAAAATGCAACAAATTACTGAAAAAATGAGAAATTCTTTGTTTTTCTTTTAATAAGATGAAAGTCTGAAACCCTTCTATGCTTCAGATCTTTAATGACAAGCAGATTTCATTTTAAAATCTTTATTGTTGAGGAAGAAAAGTTAAAAAATAAACAAAACATAATAAACATTTTTGCATTTTTTTAGTGAATTTTGTGGCTCAGCCGTTCAAACTTTCCAGTTTTGACCGATTGAGCTTTAATGTGTCACTTTTCCAGGATTATTTAACTAAAGCGACAGATCGCCTGCTGGGATTATGCTGAAACATGAAGCAGAGCTTCAGCATCAGAGCTTCAGCGTCAGAGCTTCAGCATCAGAGCTTCATCATCAGAGCTTCATCATCAGAGCTTCAGCATCAGAGCTTCAGCGTCAGAGCTTCAGCATCAGAGCTTCAGCATCAGAGCTTCAGCATCAGAGCTTCATCATCAGAACTTCAACATCAGAGCTTCAGCATCAGAGCTTCAGCATCAGAGCTTCAGCAGCATCAGAGCTTCATCATCAGAGCTTCAGCATCAGAGCTTCAGCATCAGAGCTTCAGCATCAGAGCTTCAGCATCAGAGCTTCAGCATCAGAGCTTCAGCATCAGAGCTTCATCATCAGAGCTTCAGCATCAGAGCTTCATCATCAGAGCTTCATCATCAGAGCTTCAGCATCAGAGCTTCAGCATCAGAGCTTCAGCATCAGAGCTTCAGCATCAGAGCTTCAGCATCAGAGCTTCATCATCAGAGCTTCAGCATCAGAGCTTCAGCATCAGAGCTTCAGGATCAGAGCTTCATCATCAGAACTTCAGCATCAGAACTTCAGCATCAGAGCTTCAGCATCAGAGCTTCAGCATCAGAGCTTCATCATCAGAGCTTCAGCATCAGAGCTTCAGCATCAGAGCTTCAGCATCAGAGCTTCATCATCAGAGCTTCATCATCAGCTTCAGCATCAGAGCTTCATCATCAGAGCTTCATCATCAGAGCTTCAGCATCAGAACTTCATCATCAGAGCTTCAGCATCAGAACTTCAGCGTCAGAGCTTCAGGATCAGAGCTTCATCATCAGAAACTTCATCATCAGAACTTCAGCATCAGAGCTTCAGCATCAGAGCTTCATCATCAGAACTTCAGCATCAGAGCTTCAGCATCAGAGCTTCAGCATCAGAGCTTCAGCATCAGAGCTTCATCATCAGAGCTTCATCATCAGAGCTTCAGCATCAGAGCTTCATCATCAGAGCTTCATCATCAGAGCTTCAGCATCAGAGCTTCATCATCAGAGCTTCAGCATCAGAACTTCAGCGTCAGAGCTTCAGGATCAGAGCTTCATCATCAGAACTTCATCTCATCATCAGAACTTCAGCATCAGAGCTTCAGCATCAGAGCTTCATCATCAGAACTTCAGCATCAGAGCTTCATCATCAGAACTTCATCATCAGAACTTCAGCATCAGAACTTCAGCATCAGAGCTTCAGCGTCAGAGCTTCATCATCAGAACTTCAGCATCAGAACTTCAGCATCAGAGCTTCAGCGTCAGAACTTCAGCATCAGAACTTCAGCATCAGAACTTCAGCATCAGAGCTTCAGCGTCAGAACTTCAGCATCAGAACTTCATCATCAGAACTTCATCATCAGAATTTCAGCATCAGAGCTTCATCATCAGAACTTCATCATCAGAACTTCATCATCAGAACTTCATCATCAGAGCTTCATCATCAGAACTTCAGCGTCAGACGCGTCGCGTGTTTCACCTCCACGTAGATGTTTTTAGCCGAGACGTTGAAGCAGCACCTGTTGTCAGTTTTCCTGCTGCCTGAAAGAGACGCACCAGAACCGCTCTGCTCGCCTCGCCTCGCCGTGACAACGCGCTATATCAGGACAGATGATGGAAATGTGTGTGTGGGCGCTGTTGCCATGGCGGCGTGCCTCCGCCGGCTGCACACACAGCGCCACCGAGACGCTGCAGCGTTCGGGCTCTAGTGGCGTCAGCTGCGGCGCTGATTCACGTTTCTTAAAGTCAATGGATCAGTTCAGACGTCAAGATGGCCGCCATCAGGGAAACGGCAGCAGGAGAGAGAGCAAATGTTCAGGCTGGTCTATATTTAGCTTCGACTCAAACAAGCAGAACTCAGCCAGAAAACCCAAAATATCAGCTTCACAAAGTCTGAAATGATTCAACAGGAATCATAACTGAGAAATATAACAACACAAACTGAGCAGGAAACTAGGAACTATGAACGCACCGATCCGCCTTTACCACTACTGACACCGATATCTGAGGATCGGACAGAACCGATATAGAAAACACAGTTGACCTGATTTCAAACTGCTTCTTTTCTTAACCTGAAACATAAATGCACCGAATTACCAATTTATTGAATCACTGCATCAGTGCAACACAATCAATTACAAGCTGTTGGTTAAACACGTAACACTTTGATTGATCCATTTGCTAACATTCTGGTCCTGGTCGGGTCAGGAGGGGCTGCTGCCTCTCTGGCCAACGACAGGCGGGGTCACCTGGAGGTCATCAGTCTGAAGCAGAAAATTAGGAGAATAACAACAAATTTAAAATAATAATCTGTCAAAAACAAAACATTGATTATCTTCATCAGCGTACAATAACCTTTCAGATATTTTAGAAAGTTAAATCAGGAATCCTGAACATAAAGTAAATAATGAATCATGACATAAAGCATAGAGTTAGACTGAATAGATCTGCACTTATAGAGCATTTTCACTGATGCCCAGTCTAGAATATAGAACAGACCCGAGTCCTGAACCAGAACCACAGAAGAGAACGACCCATTCAACTGACTCACCGGGTCAGAACGGTTCTAATGTAAACCATTTTATGTCTCCAGACTAAAATGGGTCAAAACCGTCCAGAAAGAACCAATAAACCCGACCAGAACCAGTCCAGGACTAACTGGGTCAAACCGGGTCTGAGGCAGGAAGGAAAACCTGGTGAGTCGACAGACGGAGCGGTCTCCTTTAAGGTTTCCATGGCAACCTGTGGCATTCAGCCTGATAACACCAAGGCCACTTGATGAAGGAACACACACACACACACACACACACACACACACACACACACACACACACACACACACACACACACACACACACACACACACACACACACACACTCAGTCATGGTCAACCATCTGTCATAACAACATGCAGGCGTGACCTCTGACCTCTCCAAGGTTCCTCCCTGTCTAGTTAAAGTCAGGGTTCTTCGTCGCCGCCTCATTCTCCTCTTCCTCGCTGCAGCCATGTTGTCCGCTCTGCTGTCCTCCGCTCCCCCAGCTCTGCTCCTCTCCCTCCTCATCATCGTGGTTCTGCTGGTTCTGTTCTCCTGTCGGGTCGGTCAGGAAGCCAAACGTCAGAACTCATCCGGCCCGGTTCGGGGGCCCGGCCCGGTTCGGGGGCCCGGCCCGGTTCCGGGTCCCGTCCCCTGCCTGCCTCGCCTCCCGGTCCTGGGCAGCCTCCCCTGGCTGGGCGGAGGCCTTCCTCCTCACCTGCTCTTCACCCAGCTGACCTACAGGTGAGTCTGAGACGACGGGTTGGTCAGTCACTGGTTAACTGGACTAACTGGTTAATTATCATAGTTTGAGATACGAGTTAATTTTCATAAACATGTTGAAATGTATAAAAATGAGTTAATCATTAACATAACTGGACCAATTAAAGTGTACATATTGACGAGTTAACTTTTATTGACTCTGTTCAAGATAATTCCACAACTAGACTACTAGTTATCTTTGGGTTGGTAGATTTCCTTAACCAGCCTTCAGGACTAGTGGTTTGTTAAACTCTTTTTGAGATTTTTGCTGAAAATGACGAGTTAAGACTTGAACCTGAACTTAATCATGTTTAATTAATATTTGTAAAGACTAGTTAGCTTCTTAAAGCAAAGATTGATGCGGATTTGTTTGTGGCTGATGAGATTCTCAGGAAGAAAAGTGTAATCCTGGGCGGTTTGATGACCTTTGACCCTGTGCTTGTCTCCGAGGTATGGGCCTCTGTTTGCGCTCTACCTCGGCCCTCACTACACGCTGGTGGTGAACAGCCATCAACACGCCAGAGAGCTGCTGCAGAGGGGCAAGGACTTCGCTGGACGTCCTGACATGGTCAGAAACACCGAAATGTTTCCCTGCTGGAACCGCGCAGCCGCGCAGCCGCGCCTCAGACACGTTTATTTGGAAATGCTTTGATTTTACTGGATATTTAAACAGATTTAGGTTTTAAACTCTGAAGAAAATAATTGTAAGCAGGACTATAGTTATTGTTCCCAGTGGAGTGAATCAGTTGTTTCATTTCTTCTTTTTCGTCACTGTAACATTGTCCTGCAGCGCCCCCTGGCCTTTTCCAGAGCAAAACATCATTAATGATGAAAGAATATTGTGAACTCAAGATGCTAACAGCTAGCATTCAGTGCTAACATTAACAGAAGATGCTACTGTTAGCAAACAACGGCGGGGTCAGGAGGTCATAAGTGATGCTTTGTGTTCATGTTTCCCACAGACAGAATGATCTGATGCTAGCAGTGGTTGCTAAAACAGTGCGTTTCCATGAAAAGCTAATGTTACCAGCTAAACTAATGTTACCAGGCATTTTGAAGCGGTTCTGTTGGACTGAATTAAGATTTAGTCAGTGACCGAATATTTGGACTTATCCAATTTTAGCTTTAGCACTCTTAAACCTGGACTGCAAAATTGTTGCAAGAAACAAAAATGGCGGATTAGTGAAACTGGTTTACCGGAAGTCATTGATCAGAAATAGGTTAACACATAATCATAAAAAATCTAAACCAGATTAAAGCAAATGAAACTGTTCAGCTCTCCAGCTGGAAGAGCTAATTCAGCTGTTTTATGTTGGACTGGGTCTTTCTGCTCAGGTCACCACCAACCTGCTGACCCGCGGAGGAAAAGACATCGCCTTCTCAGACTACTCTCCTCTGTGGAGGTTTCACCGCCGCCTCGTCCACAACTCCTTCACCCTGTTTGGGAGGGAACCAGCCGGCTGCAGGACATCGGTACCGACCGATCCACCGCGGTTCTGATCCAATGATAGAAAAACAAGCTTCAGGAGTCACAGCGGCTGATTTGACCCATTACTGCTCTGGACAGTCTGTGGGAAAATAACCCAAAATACTGAATATCTCTTATAAAAATTAATCCTAGTTAAGATACATGTGAGCAGGAAAACTATTTAAAACCTGAATTAAAACAACCTACAGAAGAGCCTGCTTCACAACAGAATGAGCTGTATTTCAACAGCTTTGATTTCAATCCCAATGAACCAGCAGGGGGCGCCAACAATCCAAATTCAGAAATTTTGAGATTATTTACATACATTTTCTAGAAAAATTATGAAAATTTCTGAGATCCAAAAGTTGAACATTTTTCACTTCTGAAACTCAAAAAGTCTAAGATGTTTGACGATCTGAACTCAGAACATTTCAAAGTTTATTTTAGAGAATCCGTTTAAAATATTTTGTATTTTCTTCTTGCAAATTTTAGACTTTCTCAGAAATCTGAGATTAATCTCAAAATATGAGTTTTTTGGTGGAAATGTACACCTTGTATTTACATGCTGTACATTCAAGCAGCGTCGATTTTCATCCAGAACTCTAGAAACATTTAGAAAAAAGAAAACCTTTAAAGTTAGTAACTTTCCAGGATATTTTTTATGTTTTATCCATAAACATTTGAACTCCAGCAGCGACTGTAACATAAACGTCTGTGCAGTTCTGTCTGCGGTGGATGACCTCTGCGTGGAGCTGCTGTCCCAGGGGCCGCGGGGCTTCGACCCGTCTGCCGCCATCACCAGGGCCGTCACCAACGTGGTCTGCACCCTGGTGTTCAGCAGCTCCTACGGCCCCGGAGACCGCGAGCTGCACGAGGTGATCGGCTACAACAACGGCATCGTGGAGACGATCGCCAGCGGCGGGCTGGTGGACATCTACCCCTGGATGAAGGTACGACTGGGGAGCCAGAGGGAAAGCAAAACTATCGAATAATATGACGCAATCATAGAAACAAAAAGTAAGAAAAAGGAGTAAAAATGGTAGAAATTTTGAAGTGAATCTCAGAAATGTTCTAAAAATAGAAACAGTAAATTAAAATCCATAAACAGCAGCTGATTGATGCATTGGGTCTAAATGAAACTTCAGCTGAATTTTAAACGTTTATTAGAAATGTTCCTCCATTAAATCTCTGAACCCTCTTCCTGTCCTCCAGGTGTTTCCTAACAGATCTCTCAGTAAACTGAAGGAGTGCATCACCGTCAGGGATCGACTGCTGACCCGGAAACTGGAGGAGCACAAGGTGAAAACTTTAAAAAGCACCAGAGACCAACAGCTCCCCCTGCAGGCCGCAGCGCTCATTACAGCGCTGAGCTCTTCACTTTTCCTGTCCGGTGGGTTTGCAGGCGGCGCTGGGTGACGGTGACCCCCGTGACCTCCTGGAGGCCTTGCTGAAGGGTCAGACGGGCAGTGGGCGGGGTCAGAGGTCACATGGGTCAGCAGAAGAGGGAATAACAGACGACCACGTCCTGATGACGGCAGCGGAGGCGTTTGGAGCCGGAGTGGAGACGACGTCCACGACTCTGCTGTGGATCCTGGCCTACCTGCTGCACCACCCAGAGGTCAGAGGGCAACAAACAACATTTCTGTGGCTTTGTCTTTGTTCCACCAATCAGAGCGCAGATGTAAGCAACCAATAATCTACAGTACTGATCGTTAAAATCTCAAACTCAGTTGCTCCTCATGTTGGAAGCAAAAAGGAAAGAGAAATTTTATGTCTTTCATTCTCAAATTACATGAAAAAACAACTTAAAGTAAATGAACCACAATGACAGAAAGATCATTTTCATCCAATCAGCTTCTTCCCTGGATGAAAAAAGAACCAATCACAAGCCCAGGTCAAAATACTCCAGGAAATGACAGAAATGACCAAACAAAAAACTGCAGGATTTCAGAAAAAACACAAGAAAATGTGATACACTTGAATTGAATTATGTAGCCTAACAATATGTGGTTAAAGAGGAGCGATGATCCAAAGTTCACATTTTGGACATTTTTGTTTTTCCTTTTTCATTTCTCCAGCCAACCAGAGTGCTTAACGAACACCCAGACATTTTTTTGGTAATAACTTCAATGATTTTTGGTGCCATTTCAAACATTGTTAAGTCACATTCAGGCTCTACCCTGTTACCTAGCAACCCAAGCTGTGCTCCAACACCTCTGGTCAGCTGGTCTTCCTGCTGGCCAGGCTGCGCGCTACATAATGGCTGCTGGAAGAGACACGTGTTTCTGTGTTTATTTACCATCCAGGAACCACTTTCTTCATTCTTGTTGGCTGTGCAGGAGGCTCCACCTCTGCTATTCAAAGATGTATGGTGGTGTAATTGTGCATCTTTATGCAGACATTTACACATGCAACAATGAATGCGTACAGAATTTTCACATGTAAATGCAGACAGCAGGTATGCTGTAAGGTTGTGAAGCTGTGCTGAGGTAAAAATGTATTGAACATGTTTTGTAGCCCATAAATCCATCCTAAGCTGTCGAGGACAGGAAGCAGCTCAGCTGGTGGATTTCAGGTGGCTGGAACCATTTCTGGCCGTTCCCAGTCGACCAGTGTCGGTTAGAAACCGGTTCCCAGTCGACCAGTGTCGGTTAGAAACCGGTGATGACCCGGACGTCCTTCAGGTCTGGGTTGGTACTGTCGGGTCTTCATGGCAGGTCCAGGAGCGCGTGCAGAGGGAGCTGGATGAGAACGTGGGCGGTGATCGCGCGGTGACCGTGTCGGACCGCGGCCTGCTGCCCTACCTGGACTGCGTCATCAACGAGGGCATGAGGATCCGACCGGTCAGCCCGGTTCTGATCCCACACACCGCCATGACAGACAGCAGGTAGGTCGATCACACGGCGCAACGCTGAAAAGCTCAGAGTTTCCTGAAAACCCGTTTTCTCTCTCAGCATTGGCGGTCACGCCGTGCGCCGCGGGACTCGGGTTTTGGTCAACATGTGGTCGATTCACCACGACCCCCGGTTCTGGGACAAACCGGACCTGTTCAACCCAGGTGACTCAGGAAAACCCAACAGATCTACCAAAACAAACCCAACAGAAACATCATTCACACCTTTTCCTCTCCTTCTAACGTAGGTCGTTTCCTTGACGACAAAGGTCAGCGCACCACACCCACCTGCTTCCTGCCGTTTGGGGCGGGACCTCGGGTCTGCGTCGGCGAATCGCTGGCCAGGCTGGAGCTTTTCCTCTTCCTGTCCTCTCTGCTCCAGCGAATGAGCTTCAGGCTGCCAGACGGGGTTTCCCCGCCCAACTTGCAGGGGCGTCTGGGTGTGGTCTTACAGCCGCTGCCTTATAAGGTGGCAGTCAGTCCACGCCCAGGCTGGGAGGGCGGGGCTAAATGACAAGGGGGAGCCTACAGCCACAACAATAAAACTACTTCCTATTTACCCTTTACTGAATATATGAAAAATAAATATATCTCTTTGATATATATATTGATGATCTAAAATGTCATGTTTTATTTGCTATATTACAACAGAAAACCATCATAATCAACAAATAGATTTACTGAAATAAACATTTCAATTATATTCTAATTTATCATTTATTAAATTACAGCCTGCATGTGATTTTACCATAAACAGTCATCCCCTTCAAAATAAGAGCATGAGTATAAATCTCTAGCTACTTCACTAATTTTTTTCACCCAAAATTTTTCAAACAGTCGAGTAAATGAACATTTTAGAACGCATCTTATTATTTATTTAGGGGAAGCTAAATGTGTGAATCGTTTCCAAATTTAGCACTAAATTAAAAATAAGCTTTGTTATAAATAAGGTACTTTAGTTTTTCATCAAAATGTTTCAGCATTAAACTTACAGACAGAAAAGTTTTAGATTCAACAGTTTTATTATATTTCCACACGTTTAGAACAGGCTGGTTTAGTTATGTCACACACACATACAAACATCCACACACACACACACCAACTATTACTGCTAATAATACTAGTTAGTGCTCTTGTCATTTGAATATTACAGGATTAATCTTTTTAAATCTTCTCCCACCGACTCAGCTGACAGAAACGCCAGTGAGGAAATGAAGGTGGAAAAAGACAAATTAGTTAAAATCCTGTAAAGAGGGAAGAAACTGGCCAGTTATAATCCTGGTCAACTAAAAGATCCAAAAAAGTTTGTCTGGTTCTGGATTTTAAGGTCAAGAAACTGGTCTAGTCAAATCAAACCAGTCTCTAAACTGACCAAAATTAATATTTAATCCAAAACTGTATTATAAGTGTTTATTTCTTCAGTTTCTCATCCAGTTTGGGGGCTGATGTTTTCCATTTACGGAACAAAAATTAGATTTCTGCTGTGGCAGAATAACAGGAAACAGGCATTGCACAGCACCAGTCAGGTGTTACTATATTTAGCCTTGAATTCAAGAAAAAAAATATCTACATTTTCAGTGAAAATCCAGTCAACGTGGAAATAGTAACATATTTCAGTGACATAATTCAGTAGAAATAAGTAATTTAGACTAACAGACATAAAGACAAGGTTTCCAAAGCAGGAAGTCCTGGAATCAGCTTCAATCAGTCACTTTCCCCTAAAAACGCTCAAAACCAAGACAGAAAAGACAAAGACTGACTTTCTCCAATTACGAGTCGTAACTGATGCCAATGGTTCTGGTTGTTTCCATCCGTTTCTGTTAAAGATCGACGCTCTGAAGCGTTTCTAATCCAACCCCAATCAGCTGATCTCAGGTCTGCTCAGCCTTTGAGAACCTAAATTACAGACAAAGTTCAAACGAGTCCCAAGTCACTCAGCTATAAAGCCCACAGTCACACAGAGCAAGAACAGCTCGAAATAAATAAGTAGTAGTAACAGTAGTCAAGTATAAATGGCACTCGGAAACCAATGAAATATATAACATTAGAAGTTCAGGTAAACAAAAAACACCGTCAACCACAACATCAACTACAACATCAACAGCTGGGCGTCGCTCTAGAAGCCTCGAAGAACTTGCCGCTCTCACGCCGCCGCGCCGACTTTCAACCAGAAGCGTCTTCCTCCAGGACCAGATATCTGGATCTGTGGGATCGCGAACCGTTTCTGTGGCAGGACTTTGTGCCTTTAATGGAGTCCCACTAGCTTATCGCTCATCATGTATCGGTGGCTCTGTTGAGTTATCCATGGATCAATGCAGCATGACACAGGGTCTAAAGGTCAATCAACCGGACTGAGTCTCTCCGTTCACTACAGTTGGGTGGATGAATCCATGAGGTGATGAGAACCTTCACTTTCCCTCAAACACAGGACCTTTTAGCTTTACTGCTGGAGGAAACGTCTAATGTTTCATCAAACTGCTGACATCACTGATCTTTCTCTCACAACTAAAGACTTTAAATTTGCTCCTACATCGATGGACATTTCAGAAACAGGAATGAACTTACAGGCTGGTGAATGGCAACAACCATGATGATGGACGCAGAACCAGTGAAGTCAGGGTAGTTGTGGGCCCTGTGGCACATTGAGGTGTTCCCACTGGGCCCTCTGTGGCCGGTCGAGACGGACACCAGTCCCTCATGACCTTGTAAAGATGGGTGGATGCGTCGCTTGCTAACAGACTGGATTATATCAACACAAGTCTTGACCAGGTGTTGGACTGGGAACCTGCTTCAAGTGTCTCTTGTCTGTTAACCTCAAGAGACGGATACCAACGCCCCACAGTAGGATGGAGCATTTTTCCTTTCCTCAGTTGAACAAAAACGCATCTAAAAACTTTTTATCAGCCTCATTTGTAAACTTTTTTGCACCAAGATAAGAAGTGCCAACTTTGCTGAAAAACGTTGGGAGTTACCAGTAAAGTCAGGGGATCTGTTGACCCTGTGGCGGACTGGAGAAGCCCTGACCCCCACACTGACCGGTAGAGACAGACACTCGGCTCTCATGCCCTTTACGGATGATAAATGGATGCATCACTTCCTAATAGATTGGATTGTATCAACATTTCTTAACACTGTGTTGGGGACTGGGAACCTGCTTCAGATGCGTCTCATCGTCTGACTGTAGGAGACGGAGACCAACCGCCTTCAACTCGATGAAACGTCCCTTTCGTCAGTGGTCAAAAATGTTTCATCAGCTAAACATCAGTCTGAGGCTCAACAGCAAACTTTTCCATCCCAACGTTTCTGATGCTGGTTTTTCACTTTTCTCTGGGTTTATTTACTCTTACAGAATAAAAATATTGCTCTTCATCTCTCTTCCTACGGTGAGCTGAAACACTGCAGCATGTACAAAACAACTACTAACTGCTTCATTGATAAAATATACTCCGTCTCTATGTGTCACAAAATATGTACACTGGCTTGTCTATCAAGTTCACAATGTACGAAACACCAACCTAAAGTAAACCAAACGCTTTAAACACGTTTGCCGTGACTGATTCTTTTAGAAGGCCTTGAAATATCCACTTGCTCTGCAATTTGTTTTGTTATTGTTCAAATCTGCTAAATTTAAGGATGTAGGAGGGGCGATTCTGAATGAAGAGATCCAGAAAGTGACAGAGATCGAGGCGACTACGGCGCATTGTTTGATCTGACCTCACACTCCGAGAAAGAGACAAAGACGGGACGATGACACGATCCGCCTCTGCTCTCTTTGGGGCTTTGTTTCGCTCTAAAAGCAGCCATTGTTTGTTTACATTCATGTAGGAGCTTTTCTCTGCTGAGATGTCGACGCAACACAAGCCGAGCCGTCCACCTTCAAGTTTTCCACTCGCAAACTGCAAACCTGACTGCTCTGCTGACAGACCCGCCATCAAACCCAATGAATCAGGCTCCCCTCCGTCAATCAGGCGCTGTGAATCATCCACCTACACCGGTCCCTTTTTCAGAGCAAGCCAACTTGTTCCCAGCACATTTCCAAACCTCCGTCATCATCCAAGACGGCGGCGATGGAAGGTATCGCCGCCTTCTGAACGCTCGACTGTTGAAAGATGCTCATTTATGGGCAAAAGACAGAAAGCGTCATTGCCTGGAAGGCCACGATTTCAGCCTGACACGTGTGCAGCTTTTATGCCGTATTTGCGTCACATTATTTCCTCCCTTGTGTGCAAATTTGTGTAGTTTGGATCGATGCTAACCATTTTTGACTGTTAAGAGGATTTATTAAAATTTGTTGATGCGAGTCAACAAAGACTGGGTTACAGTGTGATTTAATACGTGTTAAAGAGTGTGCAGGGCATGGAGATCTCTTAGGAAGGACGATGAAGTTTCAGCTTCATCATCCTGAAATGAAACAGACGCCTCTAAATCTGGTGAACGTGGCACCAAAGCCCATAAAATGACTTCCAAACCAAATCTTTCTCGTAACACCGGTGCCTTCATCGTCAACCACAACGCTCCAGAAGCATCTTCTCAGTTTGATGGCTGCCTGGCGTACTCCAGGTCAGAGGGAGGAACCGAACCATCGACTTTCATCGGTTACACTTTCTCCATGACGATAATGACTTTCTCTTCAGGGGTCGACGTGGTGACGGAGGTGGAGGGGTTGCACAGCGTAAGTTCGTCCCCTGTGCTCAACCGACTTCTTGCAGGACAATCCACGCTGTCGTGCATGTCCGTGTCTCCGTCTTTCTCCTCTTCCTCTTCTGCATCCTCGTCCTCCTCCTCGACTCGACATCTGCACACCTCAATGCCGGAGTCACCGGTGAGACGGCGGTGCCGGTACTGGCTCTCGTCCGCTCCCATGTCGTCGTCTTCGTCCTCCTCTCTGTCCCCAGCGGCCTGCTCCTCGTCTCCGTCCTCCCAGCACGCCGGTCCGGGTTCGAAGACGTCTACGCACGGCGAGAAGACGGTCTGTTTCGGTGGAGACTGAGTAGCGCGGGGTGACGGGGAGAGGGAGGACGCATGGCCGGAGGAGGAACCGGCTCTGTCGGACGGGTGGAGAGCGGTGAGGGGGTCCAAGAGTAATGCTGGTGCCACAAGAGGAGATCGGGGTGAGGATGGAGAAAGAACCGCAAGGGGCGACGGAGAGGACATGAAACAAGTTTCAGACTCAATCGTGATTGCTGGACAAGAAGAGCTGTCTGCAGGAACCGGAACCAGGGTTGGTGATCCTGACCCAGAGCTAAGACTTGCCTGAACATCTGAAGGCAATGGTGCGAGAAGGTTTGACTCACATGAACCACGCAGTTCTGGACTCAGTCCAGAACCGTTCACAGTCAAAACTAGATTAGAGTGTTGGGAAGGCCCTGACCCAGGACTCGAGGGAATCTGAGCCAAACCCGACCCGGGAGATGGTTCTAACTTCTGAGTCGATGGAGAGGAAACGGTTTGCGCAATCGAACCGGGGCTGAGATTCAAATGTGTTGGTTTTGGAGTCAGAGGGGCGGCAATAATGGCTGAAGTACAATCAGACAGCAGTGGTTCTTGGTCCCTGGTCGGGTTTGGAGACGCTATAGTTTGGGTCGGGGTTTCAGGTGCATCGGCTGGCACAACGCTAACATCCTGATCAGGAGTCAGGAGGCTGGCAGAGTCCGTTTTCAAGGCCATAGTTCTGTGAACGTCTGGAGCTGATGGGGTCGAAGCGGCACCGGGCGGATCAAAAGTTGTCGTCTGAGAATCCAGAGTCTCCAGAGCTTCGACCGGCCCGCAGCAGTCAGACGGGTCAGCTGTTGGCGTGGGAGGCCCTGACAGACTTCCTGTTCTCGTGACCTCAGTGGAGGGCAGCTGGACGGCATCGAGCCTCGGACTGGGGAGAGGACTGGAGCTGCTGAACACCGGAGAACACGGAGGAGGCGTGCCGAGCTTTCCAGGAGACAAAGCTGCAGCGGTGAGGACGACCTCCGAGCCAGGTGAGGGCTGAGACGGCGGCGCCACGCTAACAGTCTGGCGAGGGAGGGAGGAGTCTGTGGCGTCTTCGCCGCCCTCGATGTCGACGGCCACCGCTGGCCTCTCAGAGGCGAAGCGGCCCTCGCTGGCCGCCAGGCAGCTGGCTGCAGCCGCTATGGTCTCCATGGTGACATCAAGGGTGAGGGGCGTGGCCTCGCTTGGCGTGGAGGCGTGGCTTGTGTCGGTCTCGTAGGTGATGGGCGCTGAGAGCGAAGAGCTACATGGAGAAGAGGGGCAGCAGGAGTCGCAGGAACAGCTGGAGCTGCAGAAAGGTCAAAGGTCAAACATCTGACAATCAGCTCAGCAGTTTTTTTAAAATATTTTTTTACACGTTAAAAATGTCTCTATGTTTCTACCATGTAGGAGATTCTGCTCCCAGTCCTCCCAGTCCTCACCACAACAATGCAACACTTAGTCAGAAACAACCAATCAGAGCCAGGGGGAGGGGCTTAGACTGTCTGTCATGATGACTTTTTTTCTGGATGATAAATTGTCCCAGAAATTATTGCTGTAAGCAATAATATGGTTTTCAGCCCATTTTTAAGTGATATAAAACAAGATCACTTTCTAAAAATCAGTTAACTTTAGACTCTAATGAACGTTTAAAACATTGAAATATCCAAAATAAACAAACAAAACAACATATGATGAATTATGACATTTATTTCTAATCTATTATGTGATTAATTAATTTATTGCTTATTGTGACTGGTATCAAAAATTACAAAAATTAAATTACACCACGTTCACATTTAGCAGAACGTACACGAGGCAGATTGACAGCGCTAAGCTTCTCCTCCCTATTGGTTGTTTTAGGGTTAGGGTTAGTGCGTTTTTTCAGACGCAAATAGCAGCTCAGGAAGGAGGAACCCTGACGTGGCGACAGTTTTATGTAAAATCGTTGTTTTGTAAAGTTTCATGCTGCAGCTTTGAGGCGTCTACCTGTTGTCGGAGCTGAAGGAGGACGGGCCGTCGCTCAGCGGCCGGTGCAGCAGCGGGCCGTGCTGCGTGAGCAGGTGCGGGTCGGCGGCGCGCGGCGGCTGCGGGTATCGAGGAGTCGTAAAAACAGAGCTGTACGGCGGAGGAGGAGTGGAGGGCTGGGCTGCAACCTCCTCATAGGACGGGAGCTTCAGCGACGCCAGGAAACCTGCAGAGAAACCGGATCAGAACCACCGATAAGGAAGCTGGTAGTTTGGTTGTCATCAGTTAAACACTCAGGGAAAAGAAACTTAAATATCAGCAGTAAAGAGCAACGTTCAGTCCAGAAGCTAACAGTCCTGGAGCTTTACAGATTATTTCACATATAGGAAATAAATGTTTTTAGTGAAATAAACGGCCAATGGAACCAGAACTTTTCCATCAATATTAAGAAATTATTTACTAAAAACAAACTCCTGTAGCTTGTAGAAAAGTTACTTGTAAGTTAATTTGTTTTTCCTTTAGATATTTGCAGTAGAAACATAAATATGTGGAAAGATTGTGTGTTTTTGCAGCGTGTGACCAGAGCAGATTATTTTCAGGTTGTGAGGAAAATATTCGCTCTGGTTTTGTGAAACTGAAAGGATTTTTACTCACTTCTGGACATTCTTCATATAAAGGCTTTCATTTTGGGCCATAGTTTTGTAATTTATTATGTTAAAGTGTAGCTTATTCTTGGTCTTCTGCTGTTTTATTACTCTGCTACACCAACTAGTGAATTATTTAAAATGTAGAAACAGAGTTCGAACTGGCTGGTGATCTAAGCTGTAATTGAACAAATCCAGTGTTTTGTTTTAATCTAACATCAGTGCAGTTTTTAGCAGTCGGTGATGCGTTCCCGTACAGGAACGGCTTTATGAACAGTTTGGCTGATTGATCGATGAAGCTGCGGCAGGAAGAGTTTCATTTCTGAAAAATCAAAACCTCTGAGCTGGAAATTTCCAGCGATTCGTCACTGAAGCAGATTAGAGAAGCATCATCTGAGCGTCAGCAGCAAACAAAAGGACAAAACAAGAGCCGGCTTCTTTGTGTCGACGGATGAAAAAGCCTCACATCTTTTCTACGCTGGGAATCCTGCAAACTATTCCCAGTAAAACGGATCATTTCTGCTGAATTCAGTTAGTTAGTGCAGCGTGAATCAGGTCTGCCAGCCGAGAAGAAAACAATCAAACTCATGATATAAATATTAGCACAGCCTTTACAAAAGCATTCTCTCATTTTCTCCCATTGTTATGCGTTTTATTGGAGTTTTAGGAGTAAAACCAACACAAACTGGGAAGCAGAAGATGAATGCCTTCTGAGTTTTAATATTTATCACAAGTGAAACTTGATGTATTTGAATTAGGCTCCTTTTAATCCCCCAAATAAAATCCAAAGTACCACCAGCTAACTAGCAAACTGTACCAAGACTAGAATGGCCTAGTCAAAGTTCTGGCTTCACTTAAATTGAGAATCTGTGGTAAAACACAGTTTGAGTCTCTATTCAAGCGATTAATTTAATAATCTATAATTTTGACGATTAATTGATTAATCAGATAGAAAATTGTCCATTCTGCAGATTTTTCATCCACCTGCAGAAAACTGTTTTATGAAAAAAAACATTTCATTTCCTAAAATGCAATAGTGACGTTCCTTCAGTGCAAAAGATGCATCTGCAGCTAAAATATGAAACATGTGAAAAGCATCAATACAGCATAGGGCTGACCTGCTGACTAATTAATGATTAACTGATTAACAACTGAGTGCAAAAGAAGCTAAAATGATTTTATTTAACAGAATTTGAACCAGGTGAAGCTAAACCTAAATATAGAGAAGTTCTGGGTAAAACTTTATTATATTAAAGACAAAATGTTTTTATTTTTGTACAGTTTTGCTTTAATTATTGCTCTGATGGTTGTTGTTCTAGGCCTTTTTAATACTCTCTATACTCCAGTTAATGATTAATCAATTTCAGACTATATTTATCCATTAATCAGATTAATCATTTAAACTTTATTAAACTTTGTTGTTTTGATGTGATACTTTTGCGCCATGTTGTAAAGTTTAGTAAGGGTTCTTTTGGAGTCCAGAGCAGAGCAGTTGTGTGTATTAGTGGGTCAGAACCAGCAGCTGGACTCACTGAGGTCCAGCATGGAGGAGGGGAAGGAGTTGGCTCCATGGTAGGCCAGCAGGCTGATCTCTCTCTGCCTCTGCTGCTGCTGGACCCGCAGCTTGGCCCGCCGGTGCCGGTACGCGCAGCAGCAGCTGAACAGGATGAGGACGGTCCAAAGCAGCCAGAACCCTGAGGACGGTCAGAACAGAACCACAGCTCAGAGTTCTGGTTCCAGCTCACCAAAGCTCAATAAACTTAGGTTCATAAACGAGGATCCAGAAGAACAAAGTGATTCATTTTGGTTGTGAAATAAAGTTAATGTTTATATTTTTATTGAGTTGGTTTGAAGAAAAATCCCAAAACACTGTAAATATTTAGATGTTATTAAATACAATATTAATGAAATAACAGAAAAGCAGATACACGAAAAAACAAATCTTGACACAATAAAACTAACAAACTGCTCTAACTGTGTTGTTCTTTCATCAAATGATCTTTATTACAGTCTATCTGCTCCAGTTAACGATTACTAATCAATTGAATAACTGATTAATCACCCTCAATCAGCCCTATTCATGTGTTTACCTCCTATCAGACTGATTTGAAGTCGTTTCTTTTCCTGAAGTTAAATATGTAATTACACTTTTAACAGGTAAAATCCTGTCTTTGAATATGGCCTGGTTGGTTTGACTGGAAGTTTTATTCCCTAATAAATTAAGTCATATATTTTTATTTACTCAGACTATCTTGATTTAATAATAGCAGTGACAAAACTAGCAGAAATCTGTAAGAGGTAAACAAAGCACTGTAACATAAGGTATGTCAATAAAGAGTTAATGTTTATGTCAAAGGTTTGCTGCCTTGTTGAAGAATAAGTCGTCCAGCATTTCTTTAATTAAAAACAAAACTTTAAGCAATTACATACCGGCTAATATTAGCATTTTAACTTTTACTAGCTTATATACTGCTTTTGTATGCTAACCTGAGTACATTGTATGCTACTCATACCTCCCATAACAATGTTAGCATTTTAGCTCATTTTGACAAAAAAAACAAGCTTTCACATCAAAAGTGTAGCTCTGATGTCAGAAAAACTTACACCAGAGCTCGTAGTAGTAGGTGCAGCAGCCGGTCTCTCCGCAGCAGTGTCCCGTCTCACACAGATATCCTCCATTAGCGTTGGCTCCGGGGCAGTACCGCGGTCTCCCCAGCAGGGGCAGGCTGCCACCGGAGTGGTACTCCATCGCACCCCTGCTGATCACCTTCTGTTACGCCAGAGCCACGCTACTAGTCTACCTCAAGTTGCTAACTCACCGTTAGCTACCTGGTGCTGGTTGCAGCCCACCTACATGATCGAAGCGGTTTGGTTTCTGACCGAATCTCAGTCTGTTTTTATTCTCTGGCTGTTTCTAAACAGTTGGCAGGTTGGAGCTGCAGGACAGAGGAGATCACAGTGAAGCTGCAGCTAGCCTGGCAGTTTGGGGGTCATTTTTCAGACGAACCCCACCAAGATGGTTCTGCCGCAGCAGCAGCAGCAGGAGGAGAGGAATGGCTGGTGGGGCGAGACTAGACGACTACCAATAGGACGTCCCGGACTGCGGAGAGAGAGGGAAAACAACGGTTTATTGATAAACAACAACAGAGCGTGACACACAGCCACTACTACAGCCTGTTTGATATTCATCTCTGCACCGACTTAACCTCGAGAGACACAATGAAGCCACTTTGTCCACCACACACACACACACACACACACACACCCACACACACACACACACACACACACACACACACACACACACACACACACACACACACACACACACACACATACGTGTTTAGCTATACTTCTGGAGACCAGGTTGGAAATCATGTTTATAGGTACATCAGTAAACTCTCTGCCCCCGTCCTGGAAAAGCTGCAGAAATAAATCTGAATGCTTCCATTTATTCTCTACATTTTCTGAAAAGTTAAAATTTATTATTTTTAAAAGTTTATCAGCGCATAAAGTACCAAACAAAAGAACTTGTTCAGTTTTCTTCAAACACTCAGAATTTTAATACATTTTTTGAGGCAAAACAAATCAGATTTTTTCTCAGCAGTCTGATCTTTTCACATCTCAAAAAAGTACATTTTTCCACTTCCTGTCTTTGAAACTAAATGGGAAACGCATCTGATGGTTCTCAAAGCGTCTGCAGCCAGAACGGTCTCGCTGCATTTTATCCAACTTTTCCACATAATTGACGTCAGACATGCAGCACGATTCAGCGCCTGGAGAAGCCAGACGCCACAATATGGACGTAAACAATATGGACATATATTGTGATAATATTGTCAGCTCCTGTTTATCAGGTTATATTTCATAATAACCTGTTTGTTGAGGTTACATAAAATTGTCAGTTTTACTTTCAAAACACACAACCAGCAAAGTTCTGATACAAACTGAAATGATTTAAAGGGAAAAAAGGCTGGAAAAAGGGGAAAATATAATAAATATTATTAGATAAAATAAATACACAAATTATTACAATGCATTGTTCCCAGTTGAGTGTAAGTTCTTGTTTAAGGAGGTCAGAGCGTAAATCACGGGGCAGGTTGTCCATTAGGGAGGGTCAATGCTCAGTTGTACCACTTAATTTCTGTCTTCAATTTTTTTTTTTTTGCTCTCCATTGGATTAATTCCTAATAATCATAAATCCAGTTTTACAAATACATTTCTGACTTAAAAATATCTGTTTATTAGTTATCTGAAGTTTTTGTTAGCTTTTCTTTTCTTTTTTAATCTGGGGGAGGCAGCCCTGATAGACACTGACCTTTATGGACTCTCGTCTTTTCAATTTTCAATTTTCAAAAGTTTTTTTTAAAATTATTATTATTATTAAAAGACTGATTTGGAAAAAAAATATTTTGCTTGATTTTGTTAGTTTTTGTTATTTATATAAAATTTTTTCATTTTGACATTAGCTGATGCTATAGAGCTAAAACAGTTTCCACTGTGCGTTTTGATGCATATTTACAGCATATTCAGCATTTAAACTGTGACAATAAACATTTATACACGTTTTTAGGGAAACTTTAGCTGGTTGTCGTTCCGAATCCTTGTGAAAACAGGACGTCTACTGTAATTCATTTCACATTTTAGTAAATGTTTAGAGATTAAATGTTCCATTTAGAAACTAAAACCAGGAGTTTACCCTGGGAAACAACTAAAACAAAATCCTGGGAGGGAACATTCACTCAGAAAAACAGCCCTGCTTCCTGCAGTTTGTGTTTCACAGGATCAATAATATCATGAAGCGTTGATAACATTAATGCAGGAGGAAATCTCAGTGATATTTGAACAACACAGGGTAAGTAAATATTCACCACTCTGTAATCTTAGACACAAAATGTTCCAGGTTTTCCTCCTAAACGCCTCACAAGCTGAGGAATGTCTGGCTCCCAGAAGAGCAGCTGTAGAGTCTCGGTCCTCATCGGGACGTTTCCTCCGATTTTTAGCCGCCGCCCGGACCAAGATGTCCCCCAGCCGCCGGTGGTCCCCGCACTGACGGGGCCGCGGCGGCCCTCACCGGGCCAACTTCTGTCTGCATGCTGCAGTGCCGCACACACAGGCGCGCACACGCACGCACCCCCTTTGCAGCCCGGTAAACATGACGACCCACGGTCAGTGAACGCAACACACGCACGTAGGCCACATAAAGGCCACATAACCGGGCTTTGGTTTCACGCAGACGCAGCGTTTTAAAAATAACGGCGCTGGTGTCCAGGGTTACCCAGCCACGGACGGCCCCTCCAGCGGCCGCCAGCCACCACCCCTCCGGGATATTCACACAAAAACAGCCGTACCCCTCCATCCAGTCAGCGGCCTCCCAGCAGCGCGGCTCGGTGTGTTCACGGCTCGCTTGGCGGAGCGTCGGCGCTCGGTTCCGCCGTCTGTCCCCTCTCGCTTCAGTGAAACCCTCCGCGAGCCCCGCCGCCATCAGCGCCAGCGCCACGTGAAGCCCACGCAGCTCTTTGCGAGCACTTCCGCTCCTGGCCTGGGAGCCCTTCAAAGTAAAAGCACCGAACTTTTCACACGCTGCTCTGGAAACAGTTTCAATCACAACTTAACCAAATAAAAACTAAACCTAACAAACAAAACCTCAAATTCAATAAAAACAAACAAAAACATGTAAATTATACAAAACTAAATGAAAAATTGATTGATTGGTTGTTTGAAACAGGCCTCTGCATCTGTAGTTTTGAAAACAGAAGATGAAACATTTTTAATGACATTTATTTTCCCTTTGGCATTTATAAAGTAGTTTTAAATTTGGATTTAATTTACATTTTGTCACAGATTTCAACTTTTTTATTACAGATGACAAAACATACAAAAATTTAATGGCTTCATCAATAATGTTTGGTGTGATCGTTTGGTGGAAAGCTTTTATTTTGTAAAGATGACACAACGAGAACAGGAAGTTCTCGTTGTGTGTGTTTGTGGCAGCTGGACGTCCCGCAGTATCAGTCTGCCGGTTTTAAGCCTCTGCTCGGGATTCGGCCAGCAGGTCCGGTCCAAACATCCAGCCGCGGAACCAGAACCCAGAAAACCACCGGCGGAGAAAATGAGGATCAAAACAGGCGGATTATGGATTCTGATGACGCGCGCTCTGGCCTCTGATTGGTCCGAGCAGAGAGGCTGCGGGCCAATCAGAGGGAGGCTGCAGCTCCTAGCAACAGGAGAAACTTCTTGATATATGTCGAAAAACTTCAAGCAACATGTTGATTATTTCATAGTAGAAAACAGAAAAACGGCAAAATGAGTCTGAAAAGTTCTCAAGTATTTATTTATTCATCTATTTATTTCTGTATAATAAAGTAACTTACAGAATCACTTTTCTATTTACAGCATTTCATGCATAACGATGTTAATATAACAAAATGTGGGATATTGAGGGTGTTTGAAAACCTTTTTTAGACCGTGTGTCAGCAGCTGCAGCTGCAATAACAAGTTTATTGACATTTACCTTAAAAGGCCAAACTCCTGTTTTTCCAATGTTTTTCTGCTCTTCGACAGGTTATTGTTTATTAATATTGTTGTTTATAGTGAAAAATACGCTTACAAAGTATTTATATAAATGCAACATTAATAAGTGGATAAATCTGTGCGTTTTAAATAATGGCTAAAATATGTATTTATAATTTTATTTCACTGATTATTAGACAAATAACTATCCTTACAGTCCAGGTTCTTTCTGCTGTTTGATGTTTTTCTCTAATACTTTGTAAATTATGTGATTTAAGTGAATTATAAGGTAACAATATTTATAAAAACATGCAGTTACATGATAACGCCAGCAGGCGGCGGCAGAAGGCGCGTTTATCGATCTTAATTTGGTTATTTTGATTTAACAGAGAATCAGTGTTCAGCTTCTGAACTTTATTTCACCTGAGTTAAATAAAAACAGTTTTTTCTGTTCAGATGAATTTTCTGAACAGAACAACAGGAACGACACCGATTCAACCCTGAGCTCCGTGTCTCTGAGTTCATTTGCAAGAAATTAATCATTTCAGCTTCGTCAAATCCACTGAGACGTTTTAGTGACTGTGATAAGATAAAAAGAAAAGTGGACCAAAACTGGTAGAAAAATGTCACTAAAAGGCCTGAGCTCAGTGAAAAATAAAGTTCAACATACTATCAACTGAATCACTGAATACTAAGGCACTGTAGCGCTAAAATGTTAGCACCACACTCAGTTTAGCAGAAGCTAAAGTGTTGCATCATTATGATACTTAGCGGAAGATAAAAGGTTCACAGAGCCCACAGGTCTGGAGCCCTAAACTAACTGGAACTGACTGGGCAATAAGTCAATAACAATATATGTCGTGATAGACACATGATTAATATCGATAAAAAGTATGTAAAATATTATATTCGATAATTTCCCTGAACTCTGGGACACAGCAGGATTAAGGCTTTTGCCTTAAACTGGAGAGAAAACTGGATAAAACATAAAGAGTCACATCAAAATATGATCAATAATTGTTAATATCAACTGATATGAAACTTTTATATCGCGTTATGTTCTTCAGCCCTATTAGGACCAACTTGTTACTTTACTGGGTTCAGAGTACCTTACTGGTACCCATAGGGTTTACTGGGGTTATTTTACTGGAACTTACGCGTTTTATATTTTATTCAAAGTTAAACGAAACTCCTTGAGCCTGTAAAGCAAACAGGGAACAGCACCGTTATCACATTTTAATGTCGGTCTGAACAACAGAGACGTTAATCTGATAAGCTGCTAAGAGACATTAGATCAATTTATCTTCACCTCAAAGCTTTCACCTCATACAGCATTCATTCAGTGCTACATTTTTAGATTAAGTGCAAATAATTTGAACAAAGTTGTGTGTTTTTAACTCAATATAAATGGCTGAATTAGTAGTTTTTTATAAATCATGTTTATTGAACACAAGAAACAAAAATGATAGATAAAAAAGAGAAATTTATTGAACAAGAACTGTTATAATACATTTAAAATAAATTGTTTCTTTGTGTAAAAATGACAGCAACACTCAATAAATCAATAAAATTACAAATAAAATCTCTACTAATTCTTATTTAAAAAAGGCAAATTTAAGTAACCAATTTTAATCTGTAACTTCTACAACCAATGAGGTTCAGAGCAGCAGATTTTGTTGACTCCTGTTACCGTTTCAGGCAAACTGATTGGGTTTCTTGGATGGAGAGGGCGGGGCATTTGGTGGGCGGGGCTTGGGTTTCTCTGAGTCTTCCTGGTCGCCATTGAGACAGGAAAGCTCTTCACCTGGAGGAAGACAATAGAAAACAGACTGGTTGATGCAAGAATCTGTATTACTATGATAAAGTAGTGAATGTATAGTAATCCAACGTAAAGTTAAAGAACAAATACAGTCGTGGTAATAAGTAAGTAAACCTTCAGTTTTAATGTTTTATATACTGGAACAATATGATATTTGGAGAAAGATGGCATCTCAATATATTTTATTCTTCCGTCTTTTATTTAACAACAATTAACCAAAATATGCTAGTAGCATTAAAGGTACAATCTGCAACATACAGCAACATCTAGTGGAAGAACGTTGTATAGAAATATTACAGAGAGCTGCCAGGTTTTAAGAGATTTTCTTTGTGTACAAATCGAGACACATTTGGCATCTAATGCCAGGTTCACATCAAACTCATTTGTAAGCAACACCAAGGTTGAGTTGGTGCAACCAGTCTAAGAGTTTGAGGAGCCTTTACTCATTCCAGCTGCTTTACACTCAGCCACCAACTGCTACACTGTATGATGAACGACATGGCTTGAAGAGACCAACAGAACCAAATTACCTTTAAAATACAAAGATGAGACCAGGAGGTTCCAAAGATCCTGTACATAACTGCCACAAACAAAGACTGTGTGTCGGGAAAATGGACATTTGCTTTAGGTTTAGAAGGAATACAAGAGGTAAAAGTAAAAATAACCCTGGTACCTTAAAAATGCCTCAGAAGCTACAGGCATCCACAAAACACATGAACTAGAAAACAGAATCCTCTTAAGTATCTCAGGAATTGACTAAAGATAAAGATCTGGACTAGGTTGCCACAGGCAGAACCAGAATCTTCCATTTGGAGGATGACAACCTTTACCTCTGAGCTACAGCTCCTCTGAATGGTGTCCACTACCACCCAGCTGTTGAGTCACCCTGTGGTTGTATTGGTGAGGTAAGTAAGAGGTGTTTTCGTGCGATAGATAAATACTAATCTTCGTCTTACTCTGTATCTTGGTCAGAGCGTAGTCCAACCCCTTCATGGCTTGAGTTTGGTTGCTTTTGTACCGCGCTACGCCAAATTCCTGTGGACCAATAGGGACAGTTAGACAAATGACTTACCTGGACATATTAACTACAGGTGATCAATGCTCTCATCCAGGAACGTTTCACATGTCCTGGATGGACCAGGTTCAGGTACAATGCACACCACTTCATGTCTTCCCCATACTTTCTTTTCTATAGTCGTGAGGTTCATCAAAATGAAGATACTGAGTCCAGGTCTTAAAGATTCGATTAAACTTGCTGGTATTTTTATGTTACCTGAATGGGCCGGGCCAGCCCATAAACAGAAGAGGAGATCCAAGCTTCTCGCTTTAGTTTGGTCCATGTGGGTTGACTGCCGTCCTGTTCAATCATGCAGCGCTCCACCACCGTCTGAGAGGATTAAAACTGGACATTTCACTTCAAATCAATAATGAAATAGCAGTACTTCCCTCAGACAGGACACAGACGACGTCCACAGAAACATTGCCATGTCTCACCATCAGGGTGTTGTGGTTCAGGTTCCAGGTCTTGGTGATGAGGGTGTTGGCTTCCGGGTCCACGATGGAGTCCTCCAGGACGTAGACGGCCCGCGCCATGTGGGTGGGAAAGATGTGCTCCGCCCATCCTGGCAACCGGTTGGTTTTGGTCAGCAGTCTCCGTGACAACAAGAGGTTGGCGGAGGTGACCTCCCGGTACAGGACGTCCTCTGTGAGGACATGAGTGCTGGCACACAAAACCAGAGGTCCAATCAGCTTCTAGCTTAAGACCCAGACATACTCAGCCTTAAAATGTCAATAAAGATGTTCTCCACACCAGCTGGGCTGTGTGGTGAGTGGAGGTGATAGTGATCTACCAGAGGTTAAAGTTCATGTCCACTGCCTGATTTGAAGATATGACCCACATATTTCTAATGTTTTTATGATTTGGTGGTCACTACTTAGAGTAATCACCTGTATGGGTTTGGGTAGCGTTGCCAGAAAGCAGCCAGAACTTGATGCCATGGACTCTTGATGTGGGCCTCGCTGTAGACGTACCGGCCCATGTCTGGACTCACTGCTGGAGGCCACAGAACATTCAGCAACTTCATTTTTATTCAATAAAGCACTTCAAACATATCCAATTTCTAAGTGTAGTATCCATAATATTGAATTTGGCAAAATCCACACTATCAAAAATAAAATTTAGGTAGAACAAGATTGTTTACATAGTCACTACATGTACTTGTCTGCTTTTTTTCTGTTATTCCTGCATTTACTGTGAAAGTGTTGCGACGAATAGCTGATATGTACATTTTAATAAATTATGAAATAAACACGAAAGAACAAAAAATAAAAGTCACCATATGCGTTGGCCGGGAATCGAACCCGGGTCAACTGCTTGGAAGGCAGCTATGCTAACCACTATACCACCAACGCTTACATACACCAGCGTCCCGACGTCTCCACTTGACTGTACAGAGGAAAAGCACTATGACAACTGCTATTGTTTCTATGTGAGCTGGTTCTGTTCTTCGGTTTTCTAACCCCGACTACCGAATGGTTCTCGGTTCTCTGGTCGTTCTGCTCCGTTTATTCCTTATTAGCCGTTTGCTGACATTAACGGCAGCCCGGGCACCCGGAGCTGACGGCGAGGCTAACCGCTAGCAGCGGAGCTAACATACCTGCAGCGGGATCAGCTCGGAGTAAAAGTCTGGACTCGACGACATAAAAGCCGCATTACTGAAGATTCTGCCGGTGGTGTGACAATAACTGCTTACAGTTTCTGTCGGTGAACATCCAAGTAAAAACCAGTAGCTCAAACCAATAACAGCACATCCCCGTTTCCTCCGCTAGATGTCGACATTTAGTCATTTTTAGAGCAGAAGCCTCCTGTTTTTCTCACCTGTTGAATTCAGGATTCCTGAAGGTTTTCTGTTGAGACTTTACATTTATGTCTTAAAAAGTGGACCCGTGCCGATTCACGGTTCTGGATACACTGGTTTTTCTTTGGAAAGTAACTTCTAATTATTTATAGAAAATCAGACTATTTACAGTCTTGTCAAAGAGCATATCTAAAATATTTAAAAGAAAATGCAATTTGGGAAGCTGAAATATCTAGGCACAAAAATACTTGGCGTGCGAGAGCAAAAAATATAGCTGTAGCGCTGAGACCAATTCTGCTATGAGTGTGTGGGGATCTGAGTTTTCTATGTGTTTATTTTAGGTTTCTGTGCTATTGAATCTCCATGTTGTCCTGCCTACCCTTGATTCTTCTCGTTTTCCTGATTACCCTCTGTGTATTTAATCCCACCTGTGGTCCTTGTTGGGTCCTTGTCAACCCGTCTTGTCCAGCCTTCTTGTTGTCCAGCCTTCTTGTTGTCCAGCCTTCTTGTTGTTTCTCATGTCTATTGTACTACCAGTTGCTACCAGTCATGAGTTCTTAGACTTCTGCTCTTTCTGTGCTGCCTGGTCAATGGATTGAGTATTTGTTCATTAAAGTCATCATTCCTTCACTTCAACCTGACTCCACCGTGTCTGTCTCACCATCTACAACCGCACTTCATGACAGATGCAGTAACTACAGTGAGGCACGTTAAGAAACATACATGATGGACCCAATGACTTAAAATCTACAATCAAAGACCATAGAGAGATTATGGCAGACCATACTTCGCCTTCAGACCTCTAGGGCCTCTTGGGATCGTGATTAGCTCCTCTATGTGCTGGAGTGCAGGTCCATCCATCTCTGTTTGCTGAGTTTGGTGGAGCTGCAGCAGAAGGAAGCGTGGGAACGCCAGACAGCTTTAGCTGTCATGGCTGTCGACCTTCTGCCTCCTAAGCCGGACAGTCCATTCTCCCGCTCCAACATCTCTGGACCAGCACCACCTCCAGCCGGAGCGCCGGCTGCATCTCCTGCGCCCTTCACACCTCCAGTCACTGCTGCAGACACTACGCCTCTCACTGCTGCCAGCCTGACTTCAGCTGCTAGTGATTCCTCATTAAGCCCTAGTGACTCTTCGTTGCCCCCTAGTGATTCCTCATTAACCCCTAGTGACTCTTCGTTGCCCCTTGTCGCCTTCCAGTGACTTCTTGTTGCCCCTCGTGACTCCTCGTTGTTCATTGCCCCCTAGTACAGGGGTGGGCACTCCTGGTCATCGGAGGCCGGTGTCCTGCAACTCTCAGATGTCCACCTGGTCCAACACAGCTGAATCCAATAGCTGAATCACTTCCTATTTACAGACAAGTTCTCCAGAGTTCTGCTAATGAACTCATTATTTGACTCAGGTGTGTTGAAGTAAAAACACATCTAAAAGTTGCAGGAGACCCTCGAGGCCTGGAAGTTCCCACCACTGCCCTATTGACTCCTCCTTATCCCCTAGTGACTCCTACTTATCCCCTATTGACTCCTCCTTATCCCCTATGACTCCTCCTTATCCCCTATTGACTCCTCCTTATCCCCTATTGACTCCTCTTATCCCCTAGTGACTCCTCCTTATCCCCTATTGACTCCTCCTTATCCCCTATTGACTCCTCCTTATCCCCTATTGACTCCTCCTTATCCCCTAGTGACTCCTCCTTATCCCCTATTGACTCCTCCTTATCCCCTAGTGACTCCTCCTTATCCCCTATTGACTCCTCCTTATCCCCTAGTGACTCCTCCTTATCCCCTATTGACTCCTCTTATCCCCTATGACTCCTCCTTATCCCCTATTGACTCCTCCTTATCCCCTATTGACTCCTCCTTATCCCCTATTGACTCCTCCTTATCCCCTAGTGACTCCTCCTTATCCCCTATTGACTCCTCCTTATCCCCTAGTGACTCCTCCTTATCCCCTATTGACTCCTCCTTATCCCCTATTGACTCCTCCTTATCCCCTATTGACTCCTCCTTATCCCTATTGACTCCTCCTTATCCCCTATTGACTCCTCCTTATCCCCTATTGACTCCTCCTTATCCCCTAGTGATTCCTCGTTGCCCCTAGTGACTCCTTGTTGCCCCTAGTGACTCCTCGTTGCCCCCTAGTGACTCCTTGTTGCCCCTAGTGACTCCTCGTTGCCCCCTAGTGACTCCTCGTTGCCCCCTAGTGACTCCTTGTTGCCCCCTCTGCCCTGTGGTCCCTCGGTGCCTTGCAGTGACTCTCTCCTCAGTGTGGTGCCTGAGCCTTATGGGTGTAATGTGTCGTCGTTACACCCTGTATGGGACGACAGTGGAAAGAGTTTGTCCCTCAGTTGGTGGCTGCCGGCTTGATTCCCGCTCCGTCAGCCTCTGTCATTGTGTCCTTAGGCAAGACATTTCACCTGCCTTGCCTGCTGGTGGAGGTCAGAGGGCGCATGATGCACCTCTGCTCGCCCAGGGCAGCTGAGGCGACTAGCAGCTCTCCACCAGCAGCGTGTGAACGTAGCGAAAAGCATCTTGGTGTCCTCTGGATTCAACAAGACGCTGTAAGCATCCATCGCTCCCCCAGAGCTTCAACACTGAAATACTAAGAGTGTGCATTTAGTGTGTGAAGGTAACAATAAGTAAAGAGGGCTTTTAAATCAGTTAATGTGTGTTAGGATTATTATTAAACAACTTCAAAAAGTTTATATAATTAAGACATTTTTATCAAAAACACACAAATCAGTCGGGTAAAAGTCCGGAGTTTCAGTTTTACTAAAGGAAACAGCAGAAAAACCCAGAGCTCTTCATTCATTCTCTCTCTCCCGTTTCTCTCAAAGGTCTCTCTGCCTCTCTCTCTGTTAGTGGCCAGCAGCCAATCACCTGCCAGCTCTCGCGCCTCCTGTTTCCTCCTCACCTCTCCACGCGCCAATCAGACCGTTCACACCGCGCGGCACGCGCGCCACGGGCGCTGCCGACAGCAGAACACCACACACACACACACACACCACACACACACACACACACACACACACACACACACACACACACACACACACACACTGCCTCCCCTCTCTGTTTCCGAACATCAGCGTCGTGTGGCCCCCCTGCCTCCCCCCGCCCCTTCTCGCCCTGCCGCGAGAGCGACGCACGTATCCGTTCATAACCTCCGCCATTATTCATCACCCCTCCTCCCCGCCCCTCTCCTCCCGCGGTGCTGTGTTTTCTCGCTTTGCTTTCCTCGAGCTCCTCGCCTCTCTTCCTCCTCCCCTGCAGGGTCTCCACAGAGCCGCTTCCTTCTCCTCGGCCGGGCTAATTTAACGCCTCGCCCTCCCTCCTTCTCCCCGCCTCGCGCTCGCTTGTGCCAAGCCCAGGTGATTATCCATCCGCCCCCTCCTCCTCCTCCAACCCCCTCTCCCCGTTATCCCTCCCTCCATCACCTCCTCCTCCTCCTCCTGGTACCAACAGACCGACAAATCCCTCCCGGAGCTCCTCTCCCCCCCTCCCCTCCTCTCCTCTCTTTCTCTGTCTCCTTCCCCGCCAGCCATGATCCGTGGCGGGCTAATTCCCAGACGGTCTTCTCCTCCTTCCTCCTCTTTCTCCTCATCACCCTCTTCCTCCTCCTCCTCCTCTTCCTCCTCCTCCTCCTCCTCGCGGGGCCGGTAAGTAGCAGCAGCACGCGCCGTCCATCTTCTCCCTTCCTCCTCGCTGTATCGGACTGCATGCTGCGTTCACGGTATTTATCGGTCGTTATCGGCTCTGCCTTTTTTTGTGTTTGACCCCCCACCCCTCCAGCTCCCTCCCCTCTCCCTCCTCCTCCTCCCTGCTCCTTGGCTTTCAGAGCCTGAGGGGGGGAGGTGTTAATGTGTCGCGTGGGAGAGCCGTTTTCCCCTCGCGGTCGGTGGCCGCTGTGACCTTCTGTCGGAGCTCGCGCCGGCCCGCTTGACCAGACAGGGTAATTAGTTACGCCTCGGGAGTTTGAGGGTTGGAGAGGGGGGCGGGGGGAGGAGGGAATGAGGGGGGGGACACGCGCGCGCGCACGCACGCACGAGCCGACACACATTTCCACACTGACTACACACACGCGATAGGCACACACTGTGTTGGAGGCTGCACGCGTTTGTTTCCTTTGACAAACACCCACATTTCACACTCATTCACACACCGGCAGTCTGCTGCTGTTCACACACCGAAGCTTTGCTGGCTGGTCTGTTTCACTGCCACCATGGAGGCAGAGACCAGGCAACACTCCCAACTGTCCAGAACCTCCTGGGAACCTGGGAACCAAACTGAACCTGGGAACCAAACTGAACCTGGGAACCAAACTGAACCAGGGAACCAAACTGAACCAGGGAACCTGGGAACCAAACTGAACCAGGGAACCTGGGAACCAAACTGAACCTGGGAACCTGGGAACCAAACTGAACCTGGGAACCAAACTGAACCTGGGAACCAAACTGAACCTGGGAACCAAACTGAACCAGGGAACCTGGGAACCAAACTGAACCTGGGAACCAAACTGAATCTGGGAACCAAACTGAACCTGGGAACCAAACTGAGGACACAGCTTGGTTCTCTGCCTTCTGTGTAAACAGATAATGGGATGAAAGTGAAAACGTCAACATGGAAATGTTCTAATGGAACCGAAAAGTTGGGGGTATTTGGGCCTCTAATCAGTCGTAGAGCCTTAGTTCAGACTTTTCAAATCGTTTGGAACGATTTGACGACACGTTCACGCTGATGTCTTTCAATCTCAAACTAAACAAAATCAGTTAAAATCAGGAGTTTTTGTTAATGTTGAGGTAACCGGGTAGCCATCACCACTGGGACGAGAACATTACGTCTCCTGGAAGTCAACACTTTTGGGGACAGATCTTAGCAATTAAAAACACAGGGTGACAAACTACATCTTAAACGGAAATGAAATGAAAAACTTTGCAAGAGATTATAATATCACATCAAATTATTACTGGTTTTCAGGGACTGGGGGGATTTAACAAGTTTATAGATTTTCCTTTCCCATTCTAAGCGTAACATCAGACTGGTTGAGTCTGGATATTGGGATATCTGCTGATTATGCAGATTCTTCCCCAATCATTTTCAAAATCAATTTTTGAAGATAAACAGATCTGGTGGTTTTAGCTCATTGGTGATCCTGATGTCAGAGGATTTTGAACACCTTTGGACCTGGATACAACCAGATTAATAGTGACATGGAAGAGACGGCTGTCTGTCATCGTCTTATGCGTCACCATTGCCAGGGACCAGTGTGGGGTCACCTGGCCGGTCACAGGAGAACCGAAACACAAGCAGCAGCAAGTAAAAACGATGTTGACGATAAATGGTCTGTAGGAAACACCAAACTAGAGTCGGGTCTCTGTCACTGCTAGAGGTAACTGAAGTCATACCTTAGAGGTTTGTTGCTGTGCAGCAGGATTCCCTACAGCCGGTCCTTGAGATCTACCATCGTTAGATACCTTCCTTCTCCAACATCTGGATCAAATGGCTCGTTAAGCATCTGTCAGCTCTGCACAGTTCTGGTAATTCACTATTTGATTCAAATGTGTAGAATTAAGGGTGTACCAAAAAAGTTACGGCGCTGGATTTGGGAATACCTTATGGTACAGTGTAGCTTGAAAGGGTTAGGCCACCCTGTCTAATATGAATCTGTACAACCACCCAGACTGACCCAAACAAAATGGAGGCTCTTTCCTTCCACCATCAAGGGATGGTAATGCTGTCTGAGGATGATTTTAAGATTGATCCTGCCTTAGAGAAGCAATCAGAACGATGCGTTGCGTTTTCTAGGTTTGGACTGTTTTGCATGACTCAGTTTCTGTTGGGTCGTTGCAAAGAGAGGGGGATCAACAGACTATAGTATATGATGATGTCATGGGGATTATCAGGATTAGTTCCCTGAGTTGCACCTTCTCATTTCTCTTTGTTTACCAATTTGTTTTTTTTATGATTCAGAAAGGGAATACGTATGATCTCTTCCATTGGCTTTACAAATCATTTTTTCATACAGCGACTGAATTAGACTGAACTACTGCATATTTTTCTGTTCCAGTTTATATGCTAACTTAATACATATTTCAAACCAAAATAATTACAGTTACATTTAGACTAAAACACAGCATGACCTTCAACTTGTTATTCATGTCTGGAAGAAATGTTTGAACTAGGACTCTCCATCTTGTCTGAGCATGTGTGTAAATGTGTCTTTCATATTTTTGGACAATGAAAAAATGATTGCATCGCTGCATTACATGGGTTATGGCTGCACGGTGGTGCATCATTGCCTGGTTTGGAGTCTTTTTTGTGGAGTTTGCATGTATTGCTGGTCATGGCTTGGCTTTCTTTGGGTACTCTGACCTTCTCCCACAGTCCAAAAATGAGATTGGATTCATTGGTCTCTGTAAATTGTCCTTAGGTGCGTATGGTTGCCCCGCGATGTGCACCCTGCCTGTTACCCAATGACTGCTGGAGATAGACACCAACAGTTTTTGTCAAACATCTTCTGAAATATAAGGATGACCCAATACAGCTTGGTTTGTTGAGGCATCATTCCCAGCTTTGAGTTCCAACTTTGCATCAACAGCTTTACATCAAGAACCCAAAATGCTATATCGCCCTCTACTGTAATGGAATAAGTGAGTAGGGCTGGTTGCATATAGGAGGTGATACGAGGCGTGCTTTCCAGGTCTAAAGCCTAAAGGAGGAGAACAATAGTGTTCACCAAAGAGGGAATATATGACTTGGTGCTCATATGCTGATGCTGGAAGAATATAATATCTGATAAACCAGCATCTATAGATCTGATTGTGCTCTTTTATTAACTGATATTGGGTAAGAGGTCACCCCAGAATGGGAGGTGATGTGATCTGTAGAAATCAATGTCTGATCTTTTTTCATTCACAGACCAAAACGCAGTGACCTCACAGGGCTAACTGCTAGCTGAGCAAACGTCTTCATATGGTGTTTGCGCGTGTGAGAGGTCATGTCGGGAATGACGAGCGGCGTGTGTGTAGAGAGTGACCTCTCCTCGATGCTGCAGAGAAGCTCCGCCCCCTCTCACCATCACCCAAATCACCATGGTTACGGCAGCCAGGGCCAGGTGAGTTGGTGTTTTCTGAATGTCTGAGATGCGATCAGCTGCCTGGTGGATTGCTGGTCTGTGGCGTGATGAAAAGTGATGGAGGTCTTTGCTGCAGGTGTCGGGCCTAGCGCCGATGCTGGACTACACCACCGAGATGGACCGGTACCGCTCGTCCATCGCCACCTTCTACAAGACCAACGTCAACATGAACATGAACGTGACAAACTTCCCACAGTCGGCCAAACTGGCGGCTCGTCTGGCGGCCGCCGCTCCCATCTTCCCCCCCGCCGCTGCCAGGCTGGGTGCCATGGCGACAGCCCCCTGGGGTTGCCATGACAACATGAACATGAACCACCCGGCGGCCATGTTCTGGGGCAGGCCCAAACCCGTAGCTACGGCGCCAACGCATCACCACCACCACCCCTCGGCGACGCCAGGTCACATGACCTCTTCGCACCCCCACAGCAGCAGCATGCACCAGAGCGGGGGGGCCCGGGGGGGGAGGCGCCGCTGGCGGGAGTGAAGGGGGAGGAGCTGAGAAACAGGGACACACTGCGTCACTTCCTGTCAGCCAGGGAACGTCGCACCATCACCCGATCGCGCCGAGCAACGGGAACTTTCTCCCTGGTTACAGTGGCGGGGCCGACTGTGGCGTCATGAACAAGCAGGGACACGCCCACCCGGACATGATGGGCCTATCGGAGGGCGGCAACTGCAATGGGGGAGGAGTAATGAGCGGTGGCTTCCTGGGGGGGCTGGGATTACCCCCTGGGGTTATCGTCATGGCGATGGGATCCGCAGGAGGCGGGATTTCTGACGCCAGCAGCGCTTTTCAGATGACGAGCGGCCAGCGGGCGCTAACGGACTGCCAGCAGCACACCAACTCCTCCCCCTGCCCCTCCTCCTCCTCCCCTTCATCATCAGGGGTGACAGCAGGGGGTGTCTCTCTCTCCTCATCATCTTCATCGTCGTCAGGGACAGTGGCGAAGAGGAAGCGGAAGCGCTGTGGCGTATGCGGCCCGTGCAGACGACTGATCAACTGCGGCGTCTGCTCATCCTGCCGCAACAGGAAGACGGGTCACCAGATCTGCAAGTTCAGGAAGTGTGAGGAGCTGAAGAAGAAGCCGGTGGAGGAGGTGGGGTGCTGGAGGTGAGTTCAGCACACGTAGGGTAAAACACAAATCAAGCCATACAACAGTAGAAATTCTGCATGTTTTGGTTGTTTCCCTGGATCAGCACCTGAATGAAGTGACGGGTCATCAACCGGACTCTGCAGAACATTTTGATGTGTTGAGAGTTGAACCTTTTGAATCTTCTGTCTTGGAGCAGAGAGATCTAAAACTAGCGGGACAGGGAACCGTAAGGCCTGGAGATGGACACTCATGACTTATTCTCACTGAATTACTCAAAGTAGGTCCTTGTTTTGAAGTGGAGAGAAAACGATGATGGAATGAGGCAGAGGAACCGAGCTGAAGGGGGAAGTTCTGGAGACGGTAAAAGGAAGGTTAGATTCTACGACTACATCCCAAACTGTCCCCAGAGCGACGACCAATCCACCGTCTGAACATGGAGAGACCGACTGGAGATCTACCAAGATCAGACATTCACCTAAACTGACAGGAGAGAATTAATTAGGGAACCAGCCAGTAGGTAACTCTGGAGGAGCTGCAGAGATCTGTGGCTCAAGAGGGACAATCTGTTGACAAGAGGGACATTAGTTGACAATCTATAAAAACTGACGTCTTAATAAAACCGGTAAGAACAAATCCTACATTGAAAGAAAGCCAAGCAAGAGATGGACAGGATACAGAGACCATGATCAAATCTATCTGGGTTTTCCAATCGCAAACGTTACGTAGAACCAGCTTCCTTTTTAGAAACTGCTCTCTGATTGGCTGGAGTCACAAGACTCCGGAGTGGTTGTACTTCACTCCACGGAGATCTGCGTGTCCGAGAGGCAAACGTCTGTCGGACACGTATGGGCAAAGGCAAATTTTGGCGATCAAGTACTTTGTGTTGCACGAGAAGCAGATTGGTGGGCAACTGGCTCATCAAACATGCCAGAATCTATTCAGACTGGAGGAAATGAAGGAACTTGTTACAGGAAATGAATGCAAACGATATGATCGACCAGGAAATCTCAACCACGTAGGACAAGGTGTGTGTACAGTATCTGGGAGTCTTCATTCATATTTCTTTTTCTGAGCCTGTTCTGGTTTCTTCTTCTCTGAGTCGGACAAAAAGACAGACACAGCAGAATGTTCAACATCGCTTCAACATCCTCCTTTGTGGTTGCATTTGTGTTGCAGAAAGATCAAACTCACTGAACTTTATGCAACAAATAAAGATGTTTTCGGTTGACCCAACTATGTTACAGTCCCAGCCAGTAAAGATGTTCCTTAGCTATAAAACCTCCTGAACCATGAAGAGTCCAGCCGCCCTTTAGGTTCTCCTGGTAAAGGGTGAAAAGTTACACAACACTACAGATCACCCTAACCACAGTGAAACACGGTGGTGGCAACATCATCCTATGGAGACTCTCTTCAGTACAGACATAGAGGACATAAATCCTGATTTCTGACAGAAAACCAGTTGGAGACCTGCCTGAGCTGAGCTGCATCTTCAAGGTTTTACCTCAGTGAAAGATGGTTCCTGAAATGTTCTCCCATTTTTGCCTCCACTCCAAAACGATGCAACGCTTGGATCAGTTCCTTCCTCTGAAACACAGTTTGTTGTTATAATGTAGCAAAATGAGGAAACGTTCAAGACTTTTCTAGACCCTCTACATGTTCGCGTACACACATCGACGGAGCCAAAATCTATCTGGTTTTACTTCTCTCTACATGTTTCTGTGTGTGCTTGGTTCTGTGTGTGTGTGCTTGGTTCTGTGTGTGTGTGCTTGGTTCTGTGTGTGTGTGCTAGGTTCTGTGTGTGTGTGTGTGTCCTGGCTCACTTAACCCAGATGACTGCCAGGGAGGCTGGAAGGCATCGCTCACCCCGCTGAGTGAGTGTGTGTGAGTGCTGTGCAGATGGTGGGTGGTGAAAAGCGAGAGCTCGGAGCCTGCCGAGGTCTGGCAGGCTGCCAACACACACACACACACACCGGCACACACACCGACGCACACACCAGCTCCACACTGATTCACAGAGATAAAGAGAGCCTGCAGAGAGCGGGAAACGGAGAATATTTATGTTATCTGCCTTCTCCTCAGGGTGTGTGTGCCAGCACTCGTCTCTGCCGTAAGAAGTAGCGGCGATCAATAATTCATTGACACCGGTTTTCGACCTCACTGATGACTCCATATATCTCTCTTACACACACGCGTGCACACGCACACTTCCTGTGGGAATGTCTACCAACTAACGCTAATTATTCCCTCCCTTCCACGCTAAAACAGGGAGTGTGTGCGTTACGAAGACAGTGAATTAGCAGCCATAATCTTCCTCAATTACACACTAATTGGACCTGTGGAGCCTCACGGCGACTGACAGCACCAGGCACGTGTGCACGGCAGCGAGTGTGTGAACCTGTGTGTCCTGTGTGTGTGTGTGTGTGTGTGTGTGTGTGTTGGCAGGTGGTTTCACTCTCTTGCCTCATCCTTTCTTGCTGTCTTTGAAGTCGACCCAACAGACTTTCCCTCGGTCCGAAACTTTACTGTTTACTGAACATTAAAGCTTCGTCAGAACTTCACTTTCAGCAGAGATTTTGTCCTGCAGAGTCCGAAACAAAAAGGCCAAAAAACAACCCTTTAAACGTAATACCTCCCTGTAAATGCTCTGATTCACAGAAGAAAGTTTTTCTCCAAGAGATGCAAACATTAACCTTTCAGTCTGATCTGTTGCGTTTGAAGCTGAGAAAGTTTCTGGTCAACTGGGTGAAGACTTGAAAAACTCATTTCATTAGTAGGCAAACCTGAATAAATAAGTCGAGCTACAATGTGCCAGGCAAATGGCTTCATCTCTTCCACCAACTCTTCTTCTCTTTGCTCCTCAGCGGCCGCCCTCCGTCCCAGCCGGTGAGGCGTTTCGCTGGTTCTTCTAGCCTTTCCTTCACCAGTGGAGTCACCAACGCAGACACACCTGGACTGAATGAAATTCAGCCAGAGGACTTTGGTCTGAACCAGAGCAGGACTTTGTCGCGTGTGGATAGTCCAGAAATCCTACATGGACTGGATGGAGGACGAGGAGGAAGAGGAGGAATCGCAGGAAACAGGAGGCCTTCATCAGAAAGGCTTAATGCTTTGGCAAAGGGGATTTAAAGGTAACATATGAAGCAGTTACCACATTGACTCCCCACATGAATGGTCTTGTGCTCACCAGCTGTTAATTCAAATCAACTGCAAGTCATCTTGACATCTCATTTGTCCTGAATTCACTTTATATTTGGGTTTTTCAAATCTGGTCATGCAAAGCTAAATTTGTGCCATTACATGCAAAGCCAAGAGGCAACGAGGCTCCAGACTTCAGTTCTATTTCTAACAATATATCTTATCTAATTTATAAAAGTGGATTTGCTCCATCTTTGCAGTCCTAGTGAGATATGTTTATATGGGTCTATTAAACGCTGATTTATCAGCATTAAACTAGATTTAATCCCTGAAATGACCCTTGGGACACCATAACTGTCTCCAGGTTCATGAATTACTGGTCTTGTTTTCAGGCCCAATATCAATTTTTCATCATGGGACCAATCTCTGGAGCAGCTGGACGTCTTACTGGGAACCAGGATTGCCAGAGTGGGACCATAATTACTCATTCGTTAACCCTTTAGGCTCGTCAGTGTTATGTTTTTGTCCCAGTGCTTAAATGACGTCGTGAACATTTGCCCTCGCTCAGTTCAGAGGTCGTCGATGCTTAATGTGTCAGGCAGAGGTTTGCTCAGTATTTCTAACTATTGGGGCAGATTTTATTAAAGGTCTTGGACCAAGACCAAGAACTCTCAGGGGATCAGGAAGGACTGGCAGAACCATTCAGGACATTTCTAAAGATGAGCAGATGAGTCGTGAGGACAGAGACGCTTCTGGAAGGAGAGACTTTAAACTGTTGCTTTATTTGGGTTTGACAAAGAGAGGATGGAAAAATCTTCATCCTGTCAGAGAAAACCAAACTTGTCTTTCTTCTCCTTCAAACTTCGACTGTAGAGTCCGACGCTTTGATTGGTTAAACCGGGCAGTGACTGAAAAGTCCAGATAAAAAAAAACAGTTTTAAACTTTCCAGCGACACAAGAGCATTAACCGTTTCCTCCCAGACCTTAAAACGCCTTCCTCCTCTTCATCCTCATCCTCCCAGCCCAACCACGAATCCCATTGTAGCAAAACCCAGGAAGATTCAGGACTCAGCCGCAGAGACTCCTTGAGTTTGACCAAAACTGGCTGACAAGCTAACCTCAAAGAGGATTCACAAGCTGACCTCAGCAGGAAGTGATCCAGGACTGTTAATATGGACTACAAGTTCCCCACAGTAGGACTACAATAACCACATCACTGTTACCCATTTCTCTGTCTACCTCCTCCTTAAGGACTGTAAACGGCACCTTGGTCGACTTCTGCTGGTCGGTGTTTCTGCTGAACAACCTGAGCTGCTTCTTAACTCTCTTGGTGGTCCAGAACTTATTTGGTTCATTTGAATCTGGCAAATGAAAGAGTTGTGATCATTTATTGGGTTTGTGTAGATGTAGATGGAAGGCTCCTAAGGGTGCAGTCGAAGGTCCAGAAGGTTTTATAAGGCTGAAAGGAACCATTTTACTGGTTCTGGTCCTCTAATTGAAGGTTTTGATGTTTTACCGCCACCAATTGGGCTTGTTGGGCCCGACGGGACCTCAGAGAGAGTTCAGAACCAGTTCCTGTACCAGTTGAACATTGAACCATCTGGTGGACCAACAGAAGCGCGAATGCAGCGTGGGAATTCGCAGTGACGCTTTGGATCCGCCGAGCAGAACTCTGGGACCTCCGGGAACCGAGCCGAACCACATCGGATCATTCCACACTGCAACTGTGTCATTTCCTGTTTGTCGTTTGACAACACGCTCAGTGATTCCTTGTACACACCGAGACATTCTCATTAAAATTTTATCTTGAAAGCTCGTTTTCCAGAAGAGGTTTTGGTGGCAGAATGAACCGATTTCTCCAGGTGATTTCAGAGGAAATGCAGGTGAGGTTCTTGTCAAACATTTGGACCCGAGTTCATTAAATTAGACACTTAATGAGGGTCGTTTTTTATAGGATGGAAACCACAGCATGCAGCTCAGTAAACGACTCTCTGTTAATGTCCATAAATCCTAATTTATCCTAATCATAATCTAATTGTAATGAGTTTTGATACATCCAGCAAGCAGGTCCGGTTTTTCACTGGTGGGTTTCAGTAATGGTTCTGGAGTCAGCCGCTCAGAACCATTGCAGAGAACTCAACCAGTTTATATAACCAGTTTAAATAACCAGTTTAAATAACTCAACCAGTTTAAATAACCAGTTTAAATAACCAGTTTAACAGCTGGGTCTTCCTCCGGAGCTGACTGCCTCCAAATCAAACCTAATTTATTATCCATTTGCTGCACATTTTGTTTTTAGCAGATTTTTTTTCTCTATATTTGCTGAGTTATTTTAAGACCAACAATTATTGCTTTCAGAAATTTACAAATGCCATTTTTCAACTGTTATCCATAACAATTGGAGTTAGCAATTAGCAAAGTTAGCATAGCTTATCTGCATTTAATCACTCTAACATTAAAGGAATCGTCCTGTAACTGATTTATTAAACCATAAACATTTTACATGCATGGCAGACAAATAGTAAGATGAACATTTTATTTCATCCTTTGATTTTTCTGACTTGGACTTCTAATTGCAAATCAATCACATTTATCCTGAGCTTCATTTGCAC